CAAAAAATGCCTTCAAATTGTCACTATCATAGTGCATCCTATACGCTACATATACCGTTTTCCAACGCTGCGAACCACTTCTAAGCAGTCCTTTTAGTGATAGCGTTGTTACCGTACGCGAAGGAAATATAAGACAAATGTGTTGGCAACGATTTGGCTTCAATATAATGCATAGTACAAAAATGACTGAAAATGTACTTTTTGTTACGCCTGAAATATCTCTGAAGAATTCCTTCGAATTTAGATTATACTCACAAAACCTTATGTTCATAGCATGTTGTCAAAGAGAAAATAAAGCGGCTTTAAACGCTAAACGCAAAAATAAATCATTAGAGGGGAAGTGAAGGATCTTTTCTCGAAAGCACGGAAACTTCCCAACCTAACATACATGTATACCATGCGTAAAAATATCAAAGGACTTGCAACTTATTGCGATAAAATATGCCTGTTTGAACAGTACTATGTAATTGGCTTGTAGAGGGTTTGAAGAACAATTATTTAATATGTAATCATAGTATATTCAATATGAAAAGGAAGATAACCTAAAAATGGTATTGTAGTTACGTTTAATCAGTTTTATCAGTAGTTTAATCAGTGACCTACATTATGAACGCCATGAAGACATTTGAGCCAACGAGGCAATCCTAGTAGGTTACCCGACACGTATGTATTGTTAGTAGTAGTGCAAGTTGTTCATTGAGTTAGGATTGGCTAATACCGCGGAAGAAGTTACAGATAAAATGGATTTATCTTAGCCTGCGTGAATTACTTGCATAAGATGTGATGGTAAATTACAACGGGCCGCTAGCGACAGGAGGCATTCTAACTAAGCAGAAACATTGCCCCACAAGGAAAGTCCGTTTAGTTAATGGTGTACCTGTCGACATAACCTACGTAATCCCTATCCGAAACGTTCAAGGTGGTATCCAGTTCAGTTTGACACGTTAGTTGCAAGTTTATCTCCAACCGTGTCACTGGCTTCCTTATAGGATGCTAGTCACATGACCTCCATGGCGAAATCGTGGGAGCCAGATAGAGCTCACAAACGTTTGTGTGTACACAACGGAGTAATCACATTTTGACATCAAGCGAGGAACATCTGCTTGAGCTTTGCAGAGCAAATTTTCGTGACTAACATTAGAAGTGCCTTCACGTACCTTATCTTGAAACCCTCTTCTTCAAGGTATCTCTGAACGTTAAGCTATTGGAAATCTTCAATGAGAAGGGTTAACGGTTTAGATATTCCGTTTGCTAGCCGTAAGTCCATCGAGGTAAGTAGCATTAAAATGCTTATTAGCTGAATGTTTAAAATCGCCAGCGCTAAAAGTCTTCGAATACTACTAGAATACGAGGTCTTGGGTGGCGAGAACCAAAAAGTTTCGGAGCATTCGATGGAATTTCAAATACAAATGTCCGCTATCGATACACTTTGATGAAACGAAGACCATCATCCGAAGACTATCCAACATCAGCATTTCCAATCGCTTCTAATAGATATATATTCCGTTGATTCTAGCCAGCCACAGAACGCTAGATAGCACCAAAATTGAACAATGAAAACTCTATCGACTTTGAACGTCCGCTAGTTTCTAAATGGCTGTTTTTATGATAGCCGGGCTTTTTAAGACTATAGAAATTTACATTGGAAAGTGACATTGGACTAGCGATATCGTCCACCTTGTTCCTTTTCGTTGTTCCCCAAACAGTAATAAATATGGTAGAGAGATGTTTCAATACGTCTTGGTTCAGTAGAGAATGCTGTACGTAAATTGTACGCATATATCGATATGGCTGAGACGGCTTCAGTTGAATTTTCTATAGAACTAAGTCGCACTGTGATATCGAAGAGGCTGAGCAAAGATACGAATTTTCAGTCATAATCTCCTGTGCGGCACTCCTCCTAGATGTAATGGTCTAGGAAAAGCGATAGACGCTGTCGTAGCATTTCAATAATTACTATGCTTTCAATGTGCAGCCATGTTTATTTACGCTCGCAGGCAGCCACTTGTAGCTTTGGTGGGCGTCAAGACGGCTTATCATTCCTACCGCTAAGACGTAAATGTTTTATTTGGTTGAACGTTGTAAACGAAGTGGTGGCGTTAGAGTAGGGTATTATGCCAGGCGTAATTAGCTGAATATCGCTCTTAGCTCTCGCGGTGTATTTCAATGTTATTGGTCCGAAATCCCTTGATAGAGGCTATTTCGTACAATAGTTAGTTTATGAAGAAGCTAAGTCTCCAGCTATTTCCCTCGACCTGCTGAACAAATTATTTTTTCACTACAACACAGTTGTAATGTTGCCAACCGTTGTTACATAAAATTTACGCTGATAAATAGACGCACGTGTTACTAAGGAAACAATATATATATATATATATATATAAATTGAAGGTTTATTGAGTCGAGTCTTGTGAGATTAGTGCATATGCACGCGTACGTAGATGGTTGGAAATCCACAAATCTGCTGTATGTTTAGCTCAGGCCATATTTCTATCTTTTAGAGAAATTCGTTCCATCATCAGAAATACGTGTAACGGTGTCAACCAATAATAAGTAGTGACGAATTGCCTTCGAGATGGAGAAACATTAACGTACTTTCTCACTGATTTAGCCGCTCAAGTTCGAACTTATGTGAAGAGACCCCATTCTTGGAGGGGGGGCCTGTCGTGGTCCATATAAATTAATTATTCCAGCATTCAGATGACTTGCTGTATAGCCATGGTGAGTTATATATCTTCTTCTCCCTTACTAGATGCGGACTTTTCAACTGTTAGAGGTCCTTAATAGGGCAAGACTATATAATAATACTACGTTATGAGCGTACTACAGTTTTCTGATATTAGTTAATAAGGCTACTTGAATGGTAACAGTAATTGTTGTTGTAGCTATTGCATTTGAGTAATAAAACAATGTTTTGAGTATATTGAAATTATATTAGCCTGCCTTCGCGTACCTCCTGCTGCATTGACATACATGAAATAAACATTCCTTAGCTATTACTCTCCAGAGATTTGTATCTCCTCTTTTTTTCGACATATGCGTATTTTATTCAAGACAAACACTCTTAAAACAACCGAGGCATGCATTCGACGGTCGAGGTTTTCTGCACAGTGTACTAAAGCATGGCGGGAACAGCGGCTAGGCCATAAATTTTACCAAACGAATCCGTGCATTTTTACGTAGCAACATTTAAACTCTATTAGTTTTTCTTCGTTTTGATATGCCACGATAACTAGTCAGATTTGTAAAATCAGCCTGAAGATACTCGTCTCGCTGTCTTCTTCCTTATACCTGTATGGCTAATCAGTGTTACGGTGGCTTATACTGAATGAATTTGTGTCGTAAAACTCATAAATAGATAAATTTACATTTTGATATGAAAAATATACGTAGCGAAAGATTGTATTGGCCCATCTCTCTCTCGTTTATTTAAACGAGGAACAAGCCTTATTTTCCGTTTTTCTAAGGAGGGCCTAATTAGATGGCTGAACGGTTCAGACTTATTCTCAGATGGCTCCGACTACAATACAAAAATATTGATTAATTATCAATGAATTACTACAGTTACTTCGTTAAGTACATCATCGATTCGGAATCGAGGGATAAATTTCCATAGGTCTTTCCAGTTGCTTGTTGCTTAAGATAGAATCGGTTCGCCTTTGACTGAGCAAAAAAGCTAAAGTTGTAAGAATTAATTTATGTAATTTGCCATATATTGTACCCAGATATTGATAATCGTACATAATATTCAGACAGAATTCATATAACTGCCATGATCGCTCCCAAAACTGGGCTGTACTTTATAAAGAACACGGCGATTGAGTAAGGGGAAAAGTTTACTCAGTTAAAATCCTTATTTAGCTTTTCCATTGTAAGTTAAAATACGTCGCCGAAGATATATGTTTCAAATATATCAATGGGAACAGGGTTGATAATTATAACTTTCCGTGCGTGGCCTCGCTGTTCGATTTTGTATGTACTATATTAGTTTCGCGTTAATATATACATTATATAAATATACTAAACAGAAATCCCACAGATAATTCCTTTCGGACTTAATGAATGAATGTTATTTTACGGGTCGAGCCCCGAAGTAATAATACTAGTAAAAGAAATACTCCATAAATAATACCTGTGAATATCGGGCACGCTGAAATTTGACAAATGTAATGTGGGCTACGCTCAGATACAGACGTCTTGAGTGCGTTTCGCTTTTATAGGTTTAGCATTTGACTTGATCACCATGATTATCGCGACTTCGCCCTTTTTGCCTGCCCAGTCCGATCTGAAGGTGCAGTAGATTTTTCTAAATATCGCTGCGTTATTATGAAAAAGAACAGTCTGTTTTTGCGAGCCTTCTATTGACGTATTCTACTCGTCGTTTCATAACATTCATAAGGAACATCTTTACGAAAGCTTCTGCTTAGATATACTTACCCAATAGTTACTCAGTGGCAGGGCGAGACAAAGTTAGACATCTTGGATACGATTTCAAGCTATATGAATGTCCGCAGAGGGTAAAATTAACTAGAATAAACTAAACTCTAGTTAGATTAGAAAAACCTTAAGAGTGCTTCCTACGTAGCCTCGAAACAGGAATTTAATTCCAGGCACCGTTCATTGAGAATTTAAAGAAAGATGCAAAGCTATAGCAAGCAGTGCGCTTCACTCAATACGATTTGTAGATAAGCCAAGTGTTTTTCTTTACAACAACATTCTCATAGTTACGCTTTATATCATCGTGACCACGTAGAAAAAACAAACATCGCTATTCTAGGTAAGCTATTTGCTTTTTGTTAAAATGAATACACATTTGAAAAATCTCAGTGAAAAGGTGATAAATTAGTACACCGTGTAGTTCTCTCAGTTGAGGCACACTTCTAATCTACCTCGATTCTATTCTGCCTAGACCTAGACTGATATATAAAGAAGCAAATGTCAGAAGAGTCACATATTCTAATCTATGATTCCTATGGGGTTTTTTTACGTTGTCTGTATAGTCGAAATACGGAACTGCTTCTGGTCGGCGTTATCACATGCCTGGGCTCCAGTCTACTGTGGTCAAGTATTGCATTTTCCCTCGACGGGTCCCAAAGGAATTCTCCTCACCACTTTGTTGGTGACGGCAGCGAACACGGCCAGCAGCACATAGCCCATATTAAAGAATCAGGAACGAAAAGTAAGTGATTTCATCGTTGGGAAACCTTGTATATATGTATCTATTTTAAATGCAAAATCTATATTAATCTAATTATAATCTAAGTTTCCAGATGGATAAATTCGACCTGAATGTTTAGAATACAACGCCTCCGAAGTGAGCTGATTTTTATCATTTCTGACTGACTGCCCAGTTCTCGCTGGACTTAAGTGGCGCACTTCAAAAATGTTGTTATAGCCTTACATTGGGCGGAGTTTCCCAGTTCTCTACTGCAAACTGTTGAACTCTCCGAAACGATAAATTTACCACCGAAGCATACATAGACTGGGGACACGGTTATGCTGAGCAGACAAAGCATGTCACGCATACCACAATTTCCTTGTCATTTTAAATAATAGACAAATAAATTTTTATTCAAGCAAAGTGTTATATACGGATACGTTTGTTACGAGCAATAAAGCTTATCGTATGAATATGGAACTATTATTATATCTGATTGCAGAAAGCTACATGTAGTTTTAAAATTAAAACTAAACACTATGTAAATATCAGGTTGAAATCGAGCGTCCTCGCTTACTGAGGCTGACTCTCGGCTTTTCCACATGAAGAAAGGTCGTCTTTTAGGGCTTATCTTACACACCGCATGTATCTCACTAATAATCTACAACAGCCCCCCAGTTGTCAATCAGTATCTGGCGCATTGATCCCTCTGTTTCTCATCACGTCGTCCATGAGCTAAATAAACTATAACCGACATGTATACGTAAACATGATTTCTGATCCGAGCCAGTATTTCAGTGTACTATGAGGATCATCCTGCCACTCTTACCCATATGATTTAATTCGTAATTTTGGCCGTGATTCGTTCTGTATCTAATTATTTTTTAAAAATTGACGATAATACTATTACAATTATGTCGTTGCCCTTTTTGCCATAGCCTGTTCAGCTAGGTGTACAATTATCAAAAGTGCACGTGAATTAAGCTCGCCAGTTTCTCTAAATGCAAAGGATGCCTTATTCCTGAAAATACCCAAACAATCGGAGGCGCATTGCACCGAAAAACGGTAGAGTTCGACTGCAACGGTACGCAACGCAAGACGCAGTGCGGCGTTCAGGCAGACACATACAAATGCAAGCACCGCGTCTAGACGGGCAAGACAGAGAAGACACGACAATTAAGAGACTGGAAAAAAAGAAACACCTCAGGCGGTCATCTTTGATAGCCACGGCAATGTCTGTGTAGCATTGTGGAGAAAGTATATGGCGCGATATTGCATCCCTCCTATGTCAAATGGAGCCCTTTTGTAAAGTGGTTACGAACGATTTCTAATGACTCAGTTTCAAATATTTCTCTTATAACGTTATATTTGACAACGCTGTTCGGAATGGGGTGATTGCACCCTTGCAATGAGGACCCACTAAAATTACAAGCAGTGAATGAAGGCAAGTGAAGTTGAATTATAATGAGAAAAAAAAAGATGTCTATTCAAAGTAACAAATCGTGTATAAAGGACGCTGCGCTGTAGCAAGCTATGAGTGCATTCATGTTCTTGTTAAAGTGGATATCGATCGCTTCACCGAAGCGCGTATTTTCGGTTTCATTGACGTACGTAAATCATCGAAGATTTATGCATTGACTACGTAACTGGAATCAGTTCGACACAGAGATATTGCTGCGATATACAAAGAATGATACTAGGTAAAGAATAGGGCGCACACAGACGTAGAATACTAACCTTACGTTCTAAACGGCTTGTTTTGCCTTGTTTCAGTTTGTATATCAAAGGAGTGCGTAACAACAGGTAAGTATAAAGGCTGATAAGGAATGTTCTTTTTATATATTATTTGCATGAAAAATTGCGTTATTACAACGGCTACGTGTGTAGTTGACAGTAGCTGATTATTGAAGATTATATTTATCTCTTATCAGTCTTTTTATGTGACCTTGTCTAATTAACGTGAATACAGTGGTCCTAGTAGAATCTTGTTCAAAGTAGCGGCCGCCCTGATTCAAGCGTGTCTCTGTTAGCGCGTTCTACAGGTTTGCCGTAATGGCGCGGTATCAAGCATTCTATATTTACCTGTATGCTTACTGCGTACACGGGGTTGAGAAAACAATGAAAAGGTCAAAGCATTAATGACGGTTGGTCCCGTAACAGCCATAGGCAGATAGCTAACTAATATAAATCGTCTCTCGTTTTTGCCTTTCGTTATACCAGCGTCATCGTTGTTAGGAGCAATGGATGCAACGGCGGATCCATGCGACGATTTCTTCGAGTACGCCTGTGGAACCTGGAACAAGGCGCATCCGATTCCTGATGACAGGGCGACAATTACTACCTTCGAGGTGCTTGCGGACCAGGTTCAGCTTACTATCAAAGGTAACATGCATGTGTATGGGCAATGTATGTATGTAACTGTGAAAAGAAATATATTTATTTGAATCCATTTAACAAAGTACCAAAGACTATCATTATTTTATTTAGTAAGATAGTTTATGTTGTTGTATGAAAGGCGAGTGAAGCACCAGTTGATTAAGCCTTTTCCAATATGTATGGTACATGGCGAGGTAAAAGTTGTTCTGCAGTAGACAAGAACTTCGAGCCTCACCGCTATGAAATGTTATGTATTACGCACTGGAGAGGAAAGTTTGTGCTTGCTTCTTATGAAGATACTTATTATAGTGTGCTTATCGTATTATACAACGTCAGGTTGTCCAGCTTGTGGTTTGTACCTATTACGTGTTTGACAAAGCAAACTATTTTGGAACATATTTGGAATTGTCATAACTTAGTTCAATAGCAGTGTGCGGAACACCTGGAAAATGGTTGTTTGCGTCTAGCAGAACTTGTGCCTGTCGAATAAAGGACAACGTTATTAGCCGTTGAAATGGCTGATCTAGGGTGGAGAGATTCCATTAGACCGATTGTTATACAAACAGCTGTAAATTTTAATTTCAGTTCAGTTCTACTGAATAATTCACTTGTGTGCATTATTTGCAGATCTTCTAGAGGAGCAGGAATCCACGAGAGACAATGAGGCCACAGCGAAGACAAAGCGTATGTACAGCGCTTGCATGAACGGTACGTAGACGCCCACCTATTTAATTCTTAGATGCTTTATCTTGTTTCAGAATTTTATTACTGTTGCGGCTGCCTGGTTGGACGATAACCCAATCAATAATAGGATGCGTCAATCGCGATATTAAATTAGTCCATCGACAAATAAACCTCAGAGAATAGGGAATGATGTCTAGACGAGCGTTGCGAGACCATCAAACGAACCTATGAGAGCTATGTTTGCGAACGTACTAGACTGTCATTTATTCTGCACAACTTTTTTTCCAGCGACTTGTTCATTAACATCGTATTTGGTCACATTTGACTGGCATGTACATTTTATCGCATGAGCTAGCTTAAACTCTAAATCACTAGTCCCTCTAGAAGCCAAGCGCTAGAAGCACTAGAAGCCAAAGCTGGGCAGAAATGCCTTCCGTAGCAAAATTTTACCATTCTTCTATGGATCGAACTAAAAGGAGGGCTTGGAAACGACCCAGCTGAGGCACTGCGCTGAGATCCGTGCTCAGGTTTTAGAGAAACATTGATTTTAACATTAACTAATGTAACCCAGTTCGGAAATTCCAGAGAATGGATCGATAAAAGTGGGCTACTCTAGCTGTCGCCATAGCCGTTACGATTTTTCACTATCTGATTGTCGAATCCCTAGTCTCCTAGATTTTACTGGGAGGGGTTACTGATGCACGTCAACACGGCAATATGTGTGATCCCGAGCACAATGTATACGAGCCAGCCGACCTTTTATACCCGCGAGTTTGCAAAGAGATCTCACTCAAGTTGCGTTGAAATTCTTCAATGCGGCTAAAGGGTACCATACCACAAATATCTTCTTTCTATATTCGAAGGAGTACTTTGTTCTAGGTTCTTTTAGAGTTTTACAACGTCCCAATAACCAAATTTCAAAGCTATCAATAAAGAAATTAGGAATTATGCAATATAAATGATGATCTTTGCTGACGAATGTTAACTACTGATTTAATGTCGGCGTCAGCGGGCGATTTCCCGAACTAAGTAACATCAGCGGCTGGTCTGTGTGTAAATAAATAGGTAAGGTAATAATTCATGAGCATATAACTATAGCAAATAAATGTAATTGTGTGGTAGAGTTGAACTACATTGACGCTTATGAAGCTCGCTCGTTGTTTTCTTCAAGTCTGATTCAACACGAATCTGAGTCTAATCGATGAGTTCGAATAAAACGAACTTGCTAGCCGACCTAAACCTAACGATGATAGTCTGAAAAAACATCATTTCATCTTATCATATTATAACATAGCTAAAACTAAAATTGATACCTCGGTTCATGGGATGGCCGCAGCAAAAAAAATCTATAAAATTGTGGTACATAGTTAATTCGTTTTAATCGTTGTATAAATAAGTTGTGGTTTCACTGTGATCTCAAGCCATCGCCATTGTTATTATCATTTTATGATTGGCAAACCTTATACCATTTGGCCTTATTACTCTGAGATGAGATACAAACACTTGATAAACGAACCGCATGTTTCAACCGACAGCGTAATACGTCTCCTAGAATACACGGTATAAAAATGTAAATGGCATGACTATGTCCAGCCGCAGCAATAGTCTTTAGTAAACGTACCAAAAGACGCGAGCTTCGCTTTTCGCTTGAAAAATCAGGCTAAAGAAACACAGTATCCAAGCGGTTTACAAATCGTACTGAAGTACGCTGCTTCCGTTCCCGTCTAGTATGGAATAGATATTTCGAAAATGATTTATCTGCAGAAATAGATAACGAAAGATAGCATTTGTTTAGAATTATCGGCTTGGAAAATTTATTGCGTGATGCCGATTCGTCTTCTGCGGGAGTATAGCATGATCTATTTAGCACGAGATTATATTGAACAAGATCAAGAACAGCATCAATTGTGTAAGATTCCACAAGGGGGCGAAATGATGATACATGCTAAAACGAAATTACAATAACTACATGCAGAAAGACTGAAGGACCGTTCTGCCTTGTGGAGGTGATGCCTTTATAATGCCTAGTGCATTCGTTACGACGACCTAGATTAGGACCGTACATCACGCTTCAACATGATAATAATCGTATGATGTCTCAGATGGCTCCACTAACGTTTTTTGTTCGACTTTCAGCGAAGGCGGCGAGTGACGAAACGTTACGTACGTGGCTTGCGGACCTCGGAGGCTGGCCGCTTCTTAGCCCAGGTTCCTGGAACCAGCCCAATACAACGCTTGAGAACTTTATAGCTAGCCTCAAGGTCAGTGTCGACCCAGTGTACCCTTTTCGACGCGAGCAACAAAGCATAGATGTCTGGGTGATTTGGCCAATCAGATAGCTTAATTAACAAACCCAGTCGCTGCCTAAGGACTGATTTAATTAGACTTTGTATATATGATAAGTGTGTGTGTATTCTTCATTGACAGATAAAGGTTTTGCTGGCCCTGTATGTAACGATACAGCAATGTACGTGACACTGGTTTGAGTTTATGCCATTTACGCGACACGGCACATCGTGTGTTCTGCTAACTGTTAGTCAAATGCATAGAAAAATACATATCTGTAAAGACGGAAGAAACGAGCGATCTGTCTATGCATGCCGCGTATCAATGATCGCATATGGAAAGATATAAGGCGAGCCTATTTTGAGTCTGACTAAACATAGGTGAGTCAGGGAAGGAATCCCCGAGTTACTATACGCCTATTTTAGCTACAATGGATACTATATGGCGGCTATCCAGTGCACAGATCAATTGACTAAGTACTAAAGCCGTGGAATCTAGGGAGTTACCAAGCACGCGGTGTCAGAGCTGTGCGCATGCGGTGCGTAGTGATTTAATAACACGGGCCGTATAAGTAGTTCTGTAAATAACGCGCAGAACAATTGTCTGCTAAATGAAACCTGTCGTATTATTCAGACGGAAAAGTGCACTAATTGTGAGAAAATAATAATTTATTATAAGCTTGTGTCTGCAAACGCTATTCTTAGATTCCTAGTGTATGTGATCTATTTAGGTGAACTTCGATATGGCGGTGCTCTTTGTTGAGTGGGTGGGACCCGATGACATGAAGTCTTCGGTAAATATCATTCAGCTCGACCAAATGAACCCGGTAGGTGTCAGTTATACATGGATCGTCAATGCTGTCGAAAGATACATTCTAAAACTGTATGATTTTTACGCATTGTCACCGGTTCGGGTCGTTCATTAAAGAGTCGAGCGCATAGAAGAGGTTTGATGGCGGATTGTAATCCTATTTTATTGTGTTGTGATGGAAATCCTATTTATCCGTGTTGTTATTTAGGTTCTTCGTGGCAAGGACTGGTATATCGCAGAACGGTTTCACAAAGATCGCGTTGCCTATCGCCAATTGATATATGACGTAGCTGTGCTATTGGGAGGGACGGAACTTAAGAGAGATGAACTCTTCGAAAGTATAGACGAGCTGATCGCTTTTGAAACGGAGCTTGTTAAGGTTTGGAAAATTTACTCCGGCGTTTACCCTACGTATTCATAATAGTAGTGTCACGCCTTAAAGTGGCATCTAAAGGGGGTTTATTTCGACGATGCGGGTTGCGGATACTTTACCTAATAATCTTAGAATTGCAATGATTGCTATCGGTTCTCTGCGAAGCAAATTCGATTTTAGGTCAGAGTTAGATAACTTGTTTTTCGCGATTTTTTAGATCGGCGTTCCGGATGAAGAGCGTCATGACTCCGGCATGCGGTATAGGAAGCTGACACTTAGAGATCTCACAGAACTCGTACCTGCTGTAGGTGCATTTCTGCGTTTGACGTTTTTAATAGATAGCATTATAACAGATATACATGCAAACAGGCGTTCCGGAGTACGCGAATAGATTTTTCTGCTTTGTTTCGTGGCTAAGTAAGATACTATTGAAGACTATGCCAACCTTATGCTAATACGTGCACCCTCTTTTCACAGTGGACGTAATCGAACGAAATTTTCATGATGTATACCTTCTTCTCTTTAGTTCAATTTTACAGCTTTTCTACTTGAGGTCTTCAAAGGGATACCAGTAAATTTGACTAGTTCAGAGCCGCTTGTGTATTATTCGCATGAATACTTCAGGTAATAACATACACATATTCGATCGGACATGTTCAACATTATACAAACTATAGTATAGATTTCGATTGCTGTTAATGAGATTAGGCATAAAGATAAAGAGCGTAGCCATCGTAAAGTTTATTTATCGTACTCAGTTTAGCGTTTATATTTGTATCGAACCAATTATCAATTAGACGTTTTTTTTAATTTTTATATAAACGCCGATTGTAGTAAACAGTTAAATTGCCCTTCAGTCTCTATACATTGTTTAATGCAGTACTTTCCCATCTTTATAAGACACAAAAGCAGCAAGAAAAAGGAAAACCATTAAGCTAAATAATGCATAATTTAGCTCACTATCGCCGATCCTCGAACGTACAAATCGTCGCACCATACAAAATTATGCGCTCTGGAGGGTGATCAATTCCGTCTTGCCCAATCTTCCAGAAAGGTAAAATCTGCACTCTGTTATTTTTGCATTTATGAACGATGTGCCTATACGGAACACTTAATATATTGGTCACATATATCTCGCGTGAGCCACAGGTACATAGACATTTAAAGAAATCTTTCGAAATCTAAACATATGGCCACTTCGACGCTGAAAATCGTGACCCAGTTATGCCCTATCTTATTTCGATGATATGCCATTAAAGTGCCTCCCAAACAGGTCGACTATAATTTGTATATCGATTTTCGACAAATTTGCTGTAACGTTACTTGAAGAGTACACGATAAATCTGATGGCGTATTGAGCCAAGGCAGGTTCGGGAGCTCATATCATATAGGAGTTGATAATTTCGTCTATCGACTATCTCAACTGGTAAGTCAGAATTTCGAAACTTCGAAAAACCCATTATCTACTATTTAATGCTACTTCGGCATGTGTCCAAATTGGATTGAAAGTCATTCTGCATTGAAAGCATATCGATAACATGCAAAAGAATTTCGAAAATATAAAAGAAGCAAATTTACAACCAGCTATGTAGTGGCTGTACGCGGGTGACCCACCGTCGTACTCTCAACACAATCGGTACATCTGATTATCTCGGAATTATTCCTACGTATAACTATCAGTAAAGTGCGAAATAAAAACTTATTCAGGCCTAACTGCAAACTGAAAGAAGCGATCATTTGCCCCAAACGCGGCTTCTGTTAATCTATTAAAAGCTACATTTATATATATATGCACTTAAAATTGAACGTATTTTCATTACCAGCACTGCTTCAACGCTTTCACAGGCGCCGTGACGCTTGTGCGTTTTTTCGGATAGTCTACTGGCCCTGTGTTCGGATTCGCTACGGAAAATACACCTAGAAACTGCCGGCCTTGAGCTCGGATTTGCTATGGGAAATATAGCACCAAAATAGCAAGCATTTGCATTCAAAGTAGCGGAGCACATCTGCAAAGACTTCCCGCTGGAAGATTTTGCGTCCTTGCTCGTCTCGGAAGAAACGTAGTGCGTTACCGTGACGTATGCACAATGGTGTCGCGAGATAACTTTAAAGACGGAAAAGAGCAACGGAATAATGAATGTGTCATAATTCCTCATCAACAATGACTCTACCCGAGGTGTACACAAGAGAATATACTGACGGCTGCATCGCCTGTGCTTTCATCAACTCCCGAAAAGCAGCTATGTTGTATACCTACTATACCTGTAATAATTATACTTCTATTTCTGGCATACCACCCGGCCACCTCTAGGTCAAGTCACCTCCAGTCGTTTTTTAGAGCTTATTTTCATCAGAAGTTCGAGAATATGTGTAAGCAAACAAGAACGTTACTGACGAACGATTTATTAAAACGAGCGAGCTGCGTTAGTTAGTAGAATTGAAGGACACACAAAAGATAGCAAGCCAACATGACAGAGCAAATTAATTTTATGAACTTTTACGAAATTATAGGAAGTCGCGCTGCATACAACGTTGGTGCGCAGGACCATCTCCAGGCGGCCCGTGACACTGGGGCCTGACCAAAAGGACAGGAGGAAAAAAGGCGAAAAAGAAAGACGAAATTAAGGAAAAGAGACTTACAACAATAGCGAACATGTCTTTTGCCATTGCGAGTTCAGGTGACATCAATACGTAGATTCCTGGCGTCTTTACAGAGGAGTCGACAGGGCGGTTTGGTCGAGTTTGCAAAAAATGATATATAAAATACGACGAAGGCAATACGCGCTGTATAATTGCCGATCGGAAAGGCAAACAAACAAACCAGATCTAACTGCTTTTGTGAGCTGTGCTCTGTATTTAAGATAGATGTTGCATTGAGCCATCAGACGCACTAATGAAATGCTTGCATGACCGAGCTTTGTAAAAAGAGAGCTCATAAACTGCGACTCATAGTATAGAGTAAATAACAAACTGGACATTTAGCCTAAACGCTGGCAAGGAACTGCTTATGATTAAGGAGCTATACGTGAAAACCTGGAAATGTTTCTAGGTTTCTAGGGCAGAGGGCAAAAAACTGCTTGAAGCAGTTTTATCGTTGCACACTTAGGCATATTCTGCCTATGGCATAGATCGCACGTTGCACCGTCGTGCAGTATTTTTCAGCAAGGTTTAACACGAAAGGCTCACATAGTAAAAGATAAGGCTTTCACGTGGTCGTTTCTTATCGAGTCTACCCTAACCTCAGTCGCGGTCTCACTCGTCTAATCAAAATGAGCCAGGATTGTTAGTGTCTCATATCCACGCTTACATTGCTTTACTTCTGTTGGTTCAGCCATTGATTCGGTATGTTTCCATTCCGATCAGGCAGTCTTGCCATTGCTCCGTCGCCCTTCCAGATATACTAAATGCTTAACTTTTCTTTGCTAAATTTAATTCATTCGACTACAAACGTACATCTTATTAGCTCCTACAAATGTGCTATTTTGTATAATTAACTGCATATTATATAACGTGGTGAGGCGGCGTATATGAGTGTACCTTGTAGCATCGGACACCAGATCAGATGACCGTAAACGCCTTAACTCATATATAATACTGATGAGAAAAGTAGATTGACGCTTTACCAATGACGAAACGTCGAATAAGTTAATTAGACAGTTTTACTGTAACGTTCTGAGACCGTACAGTCTGTGTTAGCGCAATCTTCAATAGGACTAGTAGCTCTTGGGGTCTGGATTCTCGATGGGCAACGCAGAGACGAAATTCGAACGGCTAGGTAGCAACAACACTTCAACGCCGGAACGATCAGTTTCGAAACAGGACATGTATCGTATTAAAGTTACAACTATCACCACACAGAACTATATAAGTATCTAGCTAGTGTGTATATATAAATAATGACTTACAATACTTATAGTAGGCTAGACACGCGAAGAAGCGCAGACGACGAAATGGCAAAGACCAGCGAACTTTGGCCAATATAAATCGTAGCAAACATCTGCAACTAGGCTATAATTCTGCATCGGTAGTATTTGGAAGGCTGATCGTAAGCTAGTGCTTATTGTCTGCCAGGTAAATAAATAAGCTTAAACTTATTAACCAAACCTCAACACTTCGTGTCCTACCGGTCGTCACTCGCAGTTACAATTTGTAGCTGACTTTTTTTAATTTGAAGTTTTTCAAAGCCAAGGATGGACTTCTTGAAAAGTACAACGGGGATATCTTCAGACAAAAAGGACTGGCGCAAGTGTGTGGAGGCCACAAGTAAGTAAGTTTTATATAATTAGAGTCGTCAGTAACGAGACAGGATTTATCGCAACATATAGAATAGTCTGAATATGTCTGTTGCAATTATAACTATTTGCCCTTTTGATTGCCTCGACGGACAGGACGTCGCAGCATCGACACGTTCCTGCCTTGAACTCTGAGAACTACATAGATCAAAACAATATGAACAGATGTTAAAAACGAGCTTACAATTTGGGTCTGAACAGTAGAGCTTATCTTGATATTAAAAGGGTAGATCGCTTGAATATCACGGATCTATTTTAGCGTCGCCTTTACGAGACGCTCCCATTGAAATTGTCTTCAGCTTTCATGGAAGTTCAACTATTTCAGCCGATTCGATGCAACAGACTATTTCTGAACGCGATATCGCTTGCATATTATATCGTAGCACAATTATGAAGCTTGGTACTCGCTGTTCTACAAATAAAATATTCGAACTTGCACTTTGTTCAGTAAGCTTTTAAATAGGCTCTTGCGCTTACCGATCGGATCGACTTGAAAATGTTGTGGCCGCTAGCGGTGTGGTGAACGTCTTTGTTTACCACACCGCTAGCGTTTAGAGCGTTAATGCCGCTCATGTCCTTATTGCTCCCGACCCGATTGGGCTTGTCAGTTATCGGTATGAAATTTCTGAAAAATCAAAATCAATTTAGCTATCATCTGACTTCGACCTGGCGTAATTTTGTTAAATGAATACAAAGCACCAATACGTTATTTCTCTGCTCCCGTTTACCCTCATTTCGGTTATCTTTTGCTATGGCTGTCAGGCAAGAAGCTGGACTACGGAGTGGGAGCACTATTTATACGAGATCACTTTGATCGCTCCTCAAAGGTAAACTCACTATTTATATCTATATAAAGGGAAAAATCCAATTTAGATAATGGTAAATATACGTTAGTCTAGACTATAACGCCGGCCTATAGATGCAGACAATAAAAACGTTCTATTCCTTTAAAGTCTCAGATAGAGCTTAGACAAACTATGCGAATTATATACACTGGTCATATTATTATTGATTTCTTAATTGTACGGAGAAGATACTTGTCAATAACCGAAAAAATGTCCGCTTAGGAGAGACGCCATAAGGTAGCAAGTTCACGTCCTCTTTCATAAGCATTGAACGCTAGAAATATAGAATGATATAGCGAAACCTGCCGGTAGCTTCATTTGTTCAGATGAAGGACGCTGAAAACCTTCGAACAAATAGCCCTACTAATCTTTATACGGCAAATTAAAATTTCGCCTACCAGCCTATAAAATTAGTTTAACACGAATTAATGTAGAATTTGTTAACTGAAAAGGACATTTTTGAGAATTTAGCCTTTGTCAAACAAACGGAACGAAAACTTCGCCTTAGAGCACAAACCAAGAGCTAGCAAAATAACTTCCCTGTACCTCGGCGTTATGGCGCTCTTATGTGATTTGGATCTCTGTGATTATTGGGTATAGGTCATGGCACAGGAAATGATCCATAACATCCGTGAGGCTTTCAACGAACTCCTCGAAGAGAACGACTGGATGGATAAAGAGACAAAACGGGTAAGTTATTTTTAACTAGAATCGAACGTTACACCTACGAACATCGAAACAACCTGTCAAGTTTAGGGTCATCTATTGAAACACTAAGTGCATGATCCTGTATGCCTCAGCGGGACTACAGCGGACAACCTCGACAACAGGTTGCTGCGCACCCGAAGCTCTTTTTTTAGCCAGATCAATGTATTTGTAATAGAGGAAAAAAAAATAGCTCACCTTTGTTGGATAAAAAAACTTCGAGTATTAGTTCATCATTTGGTTCTTCTCATATTTTTAAAATACGTCAATTTTTTTTTTTATTTCCGTCTATTTTAATTACGTTGTTAGTTTACATTTAGCGAGTTTTGAGTTGTGACCTAAGTCTGTGACCTTAACTCAGTGCGTCACGAACGTTGTCGAGAGCAATGGAAACATACGGAAAAAACAATAAAAGAGGATTAATTGCGTGTTGCTGCCAAATTATTACCCAGCAGTGAAACTGCGTTAAGTTAACAGCAATGCATGTAAAATATCCCATGTAAAGACCTTATTTGCACCTGTTTGCAGGTAGCCCGGGACAAGGCTAACTCGATGCATGAGAAGATCGGCTATCCGGATCTCTTTGATGATGAAAAGCTGCTCGAGAAGGAATATGACGGGGTAAATAGGTTTTTAATAAATCGTGACCCGCTCAACAAACATACTACAAAGATCAATTTCCATTTCCCAGCGTGCCTCTTACAAGCTTCCACAATTGCTGTTTATTTCTTTTGAATCTATTGCGCCTCTGAAGGACGGATATACGACTCACACTATGAGTCATATTTACGTATGACAAGAGTCCAGCCGGAATGCATGGCAAATTGCTCTAGAACGTGAATGTGACGATTAGTTTTTTAGCTGCAGAATACATTTCACCATCGTTCTAATTTTAATAACGAGGACCTCTGCCAAGGAGCGTCGCTAGCCGCTACCTTCAAAGAGAAAGGGTTGTTAACTTCGATTCTCTGATCGCTTAATGGAAGCTAAGACGAGGTCGTTGCAAGTAGCGCACCATGTCAATTTAGATACGATCATGTAACGCACGTATATGGTATTTTGGGGGAAACGGAGCTAACCCTGAGTGATATTTTCATGGCTTTTAGAACGCCCTATCATGGATACGCTTCGATATATAGTTAAACACATATAGAACCGTCGTGTCACAATAGTGGGACGAAATTACCCACGATTTACCAAACTGAGTGTCTCCAGTCAAACGACCAATCATCCATAGCGATTATCATCAAATGGCGTTAGTTCTCCTTTGCTATCAAGTGGGCAAAGTATATGAAAAGCAAACGTGATATATGTTGCGTTGCATCCATGGCACGCCTCGAAACGCCTTGACAAAACACATCAGCATGCAACGGTAAGCCCGGTTCTGCGGATGCTAGACGTGTTTGTACAGAGCAAAATAACTTTATTACTGTTTTTTGTTTGAGATTTTAGTGGACTTCCGCTATCGTTTTTTTGAAATGTTTCCGTGCCACCTTGTCTGACGCTTAGTCTCTTCACTGTTGCAACCGCCCTCTTCCTTCCTACGACCAGCTGCAAATAAGAAAACTGACTGCATAGAGAAGCTGCTCTGGGTCCTTAAAATTTTCCTTTGGCTTATACTGCCTAAACGTTATGCTCTACGACTTTTTATTCAACTGCCAGACCTATCCAACCAAGCAGGACACGCCTGGCGTACTATTTTTATGTGCAGGAGTGTCGAATGGGTTTTGATCTTAATTATACATTCAAGGCGATTTGCATAGCTGCAGAACAAATAAGAGGTCCAGTGGCCGATCCAATGGGTAACGTAGGTTTTTTTCAAATTAAAATAAGCAGTGAGGGCGGGAACTGAAGTCGTTCGGTGGATATTGTTGAAGTTAGAAAACGGTTTGCTACAGGCTTATATTAACTGGGGCATGCGACGGTGTCTGTTTGGCTAGTCTAAAGCTATACGTAAGCATGAACTACGAGGAAGCGGGAAACAAACTATCAGCGCTAAAAAGTTCATTCCCGTTTACTCTGGGGCACCTAAGAGCAGGTCTTTCAAGTGTCAGGAATTCAACCGCCAGCTGATACGACCACGAACTTAGTACTTGTACCTACGTGTTCACCCCACGACGTTGTTGGTATGCCAGAGCTCAATTACTGCCCTATCATCTATGAATTTTAGAATCGATTTTTTTCATTGACATCAATGAATAGTCTCAAATTTATGCTATACAATATAATGCGAATTCTTTTTACAAAGGTCTATCTAGAGAATGGTACTTCACATATTCAATAAATTTTTCCACTGTTTGATAACAGATATGTATATATAGTAGAAAGTATCTCTAACGAAATAAACATAATTGTTCATTGGATTACGTTGCCGTACAGTCAGTGTCCGTGTATGCACGAATTGATATTACACGCTTGTTAAAAAATACCATTATTTAATGTCGAAACGTTTGTAAATTGACTCTATACCATTGTCCTCTGTACACGCCTTTCTAACAAAAGTCTTTCATTGGTCCTTGAAGTCGACAATCAATGTTGCTTTTGTAATTCTGTTCTTTCAGCTAAATATTGGCCCGGACTTTCTAAGGACATTGGGCAACATCAACCGCTGGGATTTGAATCGCACTCATTCACGACTGCGGTTGCCTGTCGACCGAGAACGTTGGACAACATATCCGGCGGCCGTAAACGCATTTTACGGGCCTAACAAAAATGACATTCTCTTTCCTGCCAACATTCTACAACCTTTTTTCTACAGGTGAACCTGCTGTGCGTTACCGGAGCCGTGAGTTGTCTGCTGGAGGGCTTTCTTTCGAGGGCAAAAGTAACAATCTTTCTAGTTCGGCTTCAGTTCGAGCAGTAAGCCGCAACGTCCACAGCTGTCGAAGCTCTGTCGAGTTGTTTTTGGCGCTCTTTGAAAAGTGTTGGCCTTTAGCAGTTGTCCGCCCGGGTCATAAGGCTTTCATGATCGAGCGCAGTAATAAGAGCAAATAGAGAGGCCATGTAATACAGTACACAGTTGTGTCTGCTAAGATCATCATCATCATCATGTACCTAGATAGGCGTATGGACCTGCAGTGGTATTTTTTTTGTTCCGTGTTGATAAACTAGTTCGAAAATGAGGCGCTAGATGATGTTCGATGGATGCACAAGCGATTTATTAGCGCTGGCTAATCATTTTACGGCATTTTATAAAACCATCTGTCCGAATCCGAAAATTACATCGATGAGATGATTAAAACTTATAACCTTCATGGTTGATGAAACTGGCCTTGGCTAAATTGTCGCAAGACTTCTATTCAACATATAAGATAATGATAATTTTCTAATGTAATATTCGTTATGGAATTTCATAATACGACTACCCGGAGCCGCTGACTCGCATGAGTCAGAGTAGATTACAGCTCAGGTACACGCCAACTCTACATATTTTGATATTATGTGCCATTTCAGCAAACATTTCCCCAAGTCGGTAAATTATGGTGGAATTGGCGTGGTGATCGGCCACGAAATTACGCATGGTTTCGACGACAAAGTAAGTGGATCATAAACGAATACTAAGTTAGAGAACTATTCTCTAGGAGAGATGCTATTATGTTGCTGTAGATCCTTAACTTGTTTAGTACTAGTAGTAGAGCTTGTCGGGATGTATTATTGTCAAATTTTACATTGAAGATTGTAAGTAGCGTGGCATTACACGTTCGATATACGTTGAAACTCTGCTAAGCTGTCTCGTCCTGCACAATGTCTTATGTTAATTGAAATACCTATTTTTTTTTTCCGTATCTGCTTTACCTGGCTTCTAGGGTCGACAATTTGACAAGGATGGAAACCTTCAACAATGGTGGAACAATAAAACGATCGAAACGTTTCGGTCGCGAGCCAAGTGTATGATCGCACAGTATTCACAATTCACAGTACCGGGTTTCGGCAATGTAGGTTAACTGATTGACGATAGCCTAATTAGATTGTTATAGATTTTATTTACGTACGATATCAAACCTTCATGCTGTGTTACATACAACATAAGTATATATATATATATATATATATGACTACTTGTACCATTGACGTACTGTATAAGAGATAGCCTAGCTATCAACTTCATGCAATCTGTCTTTGGCTTGTCTTTGAAGAACGATCCGTTCAATAGAAAGCACTTTGTAAAACTTCATGAAGGTCAATGAGGAGGCTGGGATTGTTCAATTTGGGTCGAGGTAGTTTTGCGTCATGCTCATATTTTTGCATTAGAAATAAATTTTTCAGGCATAATTTGAACGATATTAAGTTGCATATTTTTCGATAGGTGTATCCGTTTTGTGTAAAATTAATTCCACAGTGAAATCTTAGAAAATTGTTCTCGTCACCGAGACTCGCGTCACGATAGTAAGATGGCACTAACGCTTATACTGAGATAAATGTCCTATGATGGTTATCCTTCGCATCGTCATGCAGGCCATGGTGACTGATCACGAGAATTTATCCTGCGTGTCATTCATTCACGACTGGAGCCAACTGTTCACACCAACACGCACTGAGATTTGTAGACACGTATTACCTACCATCTACATCACTTGTGAATATAAAAAAGTTACGTATCATACATTCATCGTCGAATTTTCCAAAGCGTCACTTTGTACGTCATAGATGAAATAGGACTACTTCTATTTACGGACGCGCACCATTATCTCTACTGTACGTCGAACCTTCCACATTTTCATGCTTCTTCGAATATTTCTACATTGTTCTGTCGGTGTACGGCGCCATGTGCTTCTGACACAGTGGTCAGAACGCATCGATCGATTAGTGCCGTGTTTTATATATCGACATAGCTATTTATTTAACAGCATTTCTACTAAAAGAATGGACCTCACGGTCATCAATGAAACTGCTCGTGCCATTGGTGTCACGTAAGGTCTTACAACGCACCTTGGCAGTCTCTCGCCAACTTTAAGCCAACTGGCAGCTAGCTTACGATGTTGACAACGTTAATGATTTAGCGAAGAAACAAGAAGACCAAGATGTATCTTGTTCTTTTAGGTGTAATCAAGGCATATTAGTTGCATTATTACTTAATGTTGAATGATATCACGAACGATTTAAGGTAACGCATCGTTTTCTTCCTTTGTTGTTGTTCCGAATGCCTTTCACATATCTTCGCCCTTGAAGGCGAAACGTCAGTCAGCCAAGGAAAGTAAATTGTTATTGTCAAAAACAGATGCAATAGATCTTCGCTAGGTTTTTTTTTGTATATAGATTATTTATGTCTATTGATGTTCCTCATAAAGGCAGCCAGCAAGGCCACGTTTAGTGTATTTCTCTCAGATAATCGTCTGCTGTAAACATCTAAGCCTTATCGAATTTAGGGCAGTGTAAGTATTTTAAGGATGTTCTTTTCAGATTCTTACACACATAGACACTCTTGCGAACTTTCCAAGAATAATTTGACGATCTTCCAGTGCGTTTTGCTTTTTTACGTTTCCGCCCAACCGACCGATCCATTGGGGAATTAAATCCGTTGGATCATGCAAATTGAACAGAGCGCCGATCTGAGCGTATCGAGGCGAGGCCTGACTAAGTGTATGGAAAAGCCTGCAAATGAGAAAACCTCATACGATCTCATCGCAACTACTTATTACGTATCTTCAGGCCTCGCACATGCTTACACTGCGTTAGTCTGTGCAAAGTTAGAAAACGGTTTCTATCATACACAGGTGACTGTTATGGTTCGCTTGATATCAGTTATGCATAGCGAAAAGGGTACTACATATAATTTTCAATGCTTCATGTTGGTAGATAGATAATAATGTCTATTTGATATTGAAGTTGGTTTTATTAGGATACGTGGAGGGTGACTTTATAGCTTTCTTCAGTTTTTCTAGAGGTAACACAGACTACTCGACTGAGCGAGCTGTTCAAAGATTAGTCACCCTTTTGGTGTCAGCTCAAACTCTATTTACTACTACTACTAAAAAAACTCTACTGGTTATTATCGAATCTGGCCCGGATATCGAATTGATTGCAAGTTTTAGCACTAACCAAATAACAAGTTTCGCTTGATAGTGAGTTCTAGGTACAATTTTTTATAGTCGTGTCCTTACTTAGTTGTGGTTAATTGTAACTTAGGGTGGCTTGTAAGTGCTCGTATGCTACTCTAGTCAGAGTGACTAGTTAGATGGCTGCTTAAACGAATTTTTGTTGGAAAAGCTTACCCGGGCCTACTTATCTAGTACCTAATGTACGTTGGGCACAGCCATCCGGTACAGCGGTTAGAATAACTGAATTAGATAGACAAGAGCTTCACTTAGCAGAGCGAACTCAACACTATATGCTATGCGCATTAACTGTGCTATATACTATTAATTTTGTAAGTATCTGTGTGCGTCACAAGATTCGCCAATGTCTTCAACAGAAGATCTATATCAGCCTAAACGGGAACTCATTTTGCAGGTAAACGGACGACTTACACAAGGCGAAAACATCGCGGATAATGGTGGCCTTAAACAGGCATTCAGGGTGAGTGCAAAGGTGGCGTTCTGTTTCGCATTTTTCCTGTGAGCAGTTGGCTCAACTTATGACCTAGTTTTCAGTGAAAATAATGCAACGCCTGCTCCTTTTTGGGTACAAGATTGTACGCATAGAGCAAGCAAACCGACGATGGCTGTAGGCAGTACTCAAAAGTGCGCCATTTTGAAGATATCAGCACCAGGTAAGCATTCGCCCATATATATGTATACATACATATATATGGCTCACATTCCGCTGATAACTTGGAGCAACTTTGGAAGCGTTCACATTCCTGTAATGGTGCGGTATTAACTTGTTTGTTTCGCATATATAATGAGATATACGGTTCGTTTCATGCTAAGACAAAGCAGTCGTTTGAAGGGATGCTTGAAGCCAGACAAACAGGCTGAAACGCATGTTCGAATGTCTGAGCCTTTGCTATCAACTCACTTTAGCAAAAAAACCCGAATAGCTTCAAGAACTTGACCTTGAACACCAGTCGGTTAACGGTGATCGTGAGCCAGCAAACTTCATTAGCGACTGGTATTCGCTAAATTGAACGATGTCGACGTATACAAGACATCTTAAACCTCAGATAGACAAGTCGTAGAACGTTGATGAAAACAATCCAGCGGCTGCCTCTGCTTACCGAGCCCTGAGAGCTACAGACAAATATACTAGAGCCTCACTGTGTTCTCCGAGCTTTCTCGACATCTCAGATATAGTAGTTGAACTACTACGAATAGAATTATTCTTACATCTTGCATCTTGTGCACAAAGATTGGTGGAATCTACCACTTCAGCCTATACCAGCATCTGTTTATTATAATCTATAACAGCAAATGTTTGGCCATAGTAGCAATAGCCTGAAGAGTCAGTCAGTCTCTGCAACAATAGTTAACACACGCAGATATTGATTCGTGAATAATGAGCCTGCCTGTTCAGTTTTACTACACTACCAGTGAACTGAATAATGTCGAAATAATAGGGTATTGAAAGATTTGCTACTGACTTCCGGAGATTCTCGTGCAAACCGAGAAAACTCCATTACGTGCAACGTTTCCACATTAACCGGTTCGAAAACAAAGAAAGGTTATCGAAGAATGGGGCCTAAGATACGCATATTAGTTCATAATCTACCATGCATCTCGATTCAAATCAAATTTCTAATCAAAAAATTACAAGGTAAATTTATCAAACACATTGACGTCATTCCAGACAAATTAATAATTTTTATCCCACGCGGGCTAGTAGTAACAGTTATAACTGAATAGGTAAATAGACAATATGCAGGTCACCGACAAAACGAAGCAGAAAAGCTATTCTGTCGGCTCCATAAAAATTGATGCTCGTATTTTACTTCGTTTTTATATATTCGATAGATAAAAAAATACATGAAAAAAGTTACTTTGTTCCGTCCAGATAGCCCCCATGTATCATAAATCTACTGTAAACGGCACGCCGCACCAAGACCTACTGCAAAATCGCCAAATATTTATCACTAAACATCTACCATATAGAAATGGACGCTTTGTTGAATCTATTGACTTGGATCACCGTCACGTCCCTTCTGTTCTACTGTAAGCTAGGCAACATCTAAATCTCTTGTCTAGGCCTCTTTCACCCCTACTCTATGTCGCCATTTCATTGCACCTTATCTCGCAGCCTACATCAGCGCCAGTACCCGAAAAACGGCAGTGTACGAAATCCCAACAAAGGACAGTCCCCTACTATAGATCGGTCTTGCACCGTTATCACTTGGACAAGCTACTAAGCAGTATCTCTGTCGCTTAAACGCACCGATACGTTTCATAAAGCCGCTAGGCCGAACTGCTGGATCGGGGCTGCTTAAGGGTTTCGTGCCCTTCCCTGACCAGACGTCCTGCGCTGACGATGACAAACGGTTTGGGCCAAGGGGGAAATGGACTTACATTGATTACCCCTATCTTATGAGCAGGCGACGCCGTTTGGCTTCATTACATTAGTCTAGCCGGTTGTTAAATTACCAGTTTTACTGACTGTCTATGCCCATGAAGCTTCACTAGTTTAACGTCACCAGATCCAGCAACAATAGGTTTGGCCTTCGTTAAGTGTAGGACGTACCTTTGTTATCATAAAACAGTTCTAATGGACGATGTACGTATCTTTATCGGTTTGAAGGGGGTCGAGAAGGGGAGGTTTGATATACAGAGCAACGACATTTGTGCGTATGCGAGCACAGTCGTGACTTCGAGTAGGCGACGGATTATGGGGATCTGAACGTTGGTGAATTTCGTAGATATGTATAGCTCAGTGGTAAAAATGAATCATGTAGTTGCGTTCTACTTCATTTTGAAAGGAACTGTGAAAGTCACTTGTGCACACATTGTCGAAGTTTACTATTGTCAAGACAAATGAGACAGTTTTGCCCGCCTGTATGCGTTTCATTTCGTTTTCGTTGCGTTCTACCACAACGTTTTCAAGACCTCAGCCAGTATCAACCGCGTAGCGTCAGGCCAAATGAGATTTTAGTTCAGTCGAAAAGCTACACCAATTCAATCATGTATAAACTATTGATAATTTAGGATGATTCTTTTGCATGCATATGTATACCGTTTCGCATAAACGAGATAGCAATAGTTGATAACCGTACACTGCGACGTATACAGTCAACTTTGCTTTTATGCATTAAGCGACGCTCTATTTTGAGCGGTGCTTTATCTTATACAGGCATATATCTTATGTTATATAGTTACGGTAACAGTTTTAGTCTCTGTTGGCCTGTCGTTTTTGTAACTCGTATTTCTATAACTTTATACACGAACCGATAGGCTCAATCATTACTGTAGCCGAGACGGTAGCTCGCGTCATAATGAAAAGATACGCTAGTAAACCATGTGATAATATGTGACAGGTTATATATGTGGTTATTGCGTAAACAGATGAAAGGCACACTCGCCCCCAAAACTCTGTCTGAGAATCTGCTTCCCTTCTGAGAAGGTGAGGGATTGTTTTTAGCAAATGTGTAGATATATTTCTACAAATCAATTGTTCCGATTTCTTGTGTCAGGCTCAGAAATAGAGCTTAAACATATTGTATGTGGTCGAATACATAGCTATTCGTGAAGGAGGGTTAAAAAAATCAAATCAGTGAAAACTCAGAATGAAAAAATACAGCATCGATTACCCTTATACGGCACCCTAGCCATAAATTTCACTTTTTCATTGATTTTCACTATCCTAATCGAGTGATATCAAATCAGTAACCAGCTCCAGATACCATTGCCAATCCGGACGCAAAAAGCCTATTAAAACCAGCCAGGTCCGTCGAAAAAGATTGTTATACGTTTTTAAACCAATATA